AAACCATTTCAGGTGACTACCTCTTGAAGCTCATGGAGAGAATGCCAAGAGTGTGCAAAGCAGTAATCAGAGCAAAGGGTGGCTATTTTGAAGAAACTAGAATATAAAACATGTTTTCAGTTATTTCACCTTTTTTTGTTAAGTACATAACTCCACATGTGTTCATTCATAGTTTTGATGCCTTCAGTGAGAATCTACAATGTAAATAGTCATGAAAATAAAGAAAATGCATTGAATGAGAAGGTGTGTCCAAACTTTTGGCCTGTACTGTATATAATGGTATTTGTTCATATATGTAAAGCATATGTCTTTAAAACAGACATATAGGAAAAACTGCAAAAATTATATGTAACATGTATGGAAAACATACTTTGACATGTACTTTCCTTATATATCACATACATAGATTTCACATATTCTTATGTAATTCTTTTTATTTTCTTGTATGAAAAAAATGCAAAAGTGGCCACTTTCAAGAGTAAATCATATAAGCCTTATATGATGCACAATACATAAAACATAAACTGAACGTGATGGAACTTCTTATAAGTTTTTTCTATTTCTTTTCCACATGGGTATACTCTACTCTGCTCTACTCTACTATACTCTGCTCTGTTCTACTCTGCTCTACTTGGCTCTACTATACTCTTCTCTACTCTACTATGCTCTACTCTTTAATCTGCTCTACTCGGCTCTACTCTACTATACTATACTCTGCTCTACTCTATAATCTGCTCTATTATGCTCTACTATACTCTTCTCTGCTCTACTCTACTATGCTCTGCTCTTCTCTATTCTGCTCTGCTCTACTATACTCTTTACTCTGCTCTACTGTACTCTACTCTACTCTGCTCTACTCTACTCTACTCTGATCTACTATACTCTGCTTTACTCTATTCTGCTCTACCCTACTCGGCTCTACTCTACTATACTCTGCTCTACCCTACTCTGCTTTGTTCTACTCTGCTCTACTTGGCTCTACTCTGCTCTACTCTACTATACTCTGCTCTACTATACTCTTCTCTACTATGCTCTACTCTGCTCTACTTGGCTCTACTCTACTCTACTCTACTATCCTCTTCTCCACTCTACTATGCTCTGCTCTACTCTGCTCTACTTGGCTCTACTCTGCTCTACTCTACTATAATCTGCTCTTCTCTGCTCTACTATGCTCTACTCTGCTCTACTTGGCTCTACTCTACTATCCTCTTCTCCACTCTACTATGCTCTGCTCTACTCTATAATCTGCTCTACTCTGCTCTACTATACTCTGTTCTACTCTTTAATCTGTTCTACTCTGCTCTGCTCTACTCTACTTTGCTCTACTCTACTCTGGTCTACTCTGCTCTACTCTTTAATCTGCTCTACTCTACTCCTTAATCTACTCTACTCTCAAAAATTAAATTGTTTTATTGACCACAAAACATTTGTCTTTGTAATATTCCTACCATAAGGCATACATTTGAGGGAATATGATGCAACCTTAAAAACAGAATAATGGTCACTACTGAAACAGGACAGTCACTACCGAAACAGTGCAGTCACTACCGAAACACTGGGTGTTTTGTAAAAAATAAAGTATATTGAGTTATCAACTAAAGTATTATGATGTTAATTGGTTACATTTATGTTCTGTTTCATCAATTATTAACTCTGAAATCAATCTGATCAGCGTTATGCAGTTTACAAAGAAAGACTGCATTTAGATTTTGAAGAATTCTATAATTTGAACTTCGAAATTTGTTAAAATATTAATTTTTATAGATTTAATTGTGAAAACCTTCAGTAAAACTTTGTAAAAATTTAAATCTTTAGACAAGGGAAGGAACAAGCCTAACAGGTTGATATATTTTTTTTTGTATAATATAATACTATATGTTTTGGTAATTTTGGGAGAGGAAAAACATTCCAAAACAGTCTGAAAATACAATATAAATATTTACAGTCAATTTACTAGATATGTGACCTTTACATATGGTACAATATATATAGGGACAAAGTTTTGGAAATAAAACATACAAAATTTCAAAATATATCCAGCCTAACTACAGTTTGTCAGTCTGGATCTGGAAGTCCCACAGGATCTTAGCACAGTCATTCTCAACCACCTTAGGAGGTGTTTTCCATTCTGACTTTGAGACTTCCAGTCCAATTTCAATTTCAGTTTTATTTATTTCTCAAGGGGGACAGTGTGCATTAATGAACATTTTCATAGAAATAAAAACATAAATGCGCCCAACTGCAACCAAGGGCTGATTTCCACTGCTAGTCCCCCCGCCAGATGGTGCAGGCAAAAGTTCCTAAAAAAGTAAATACATTAACCATAATATAGATGAAGCAATTACAATAAATAAAAACATAANTAGTCCCCCCGCCAGATGGTGCAGGCAAAAGTTCCTAAAAAAGTAAATACATTAACCATAATATAGATGAAGCAATTACAATAAATAAAAACATAACAATCACAATTTCACAGTATAAATTGCAATGTGACAGACTACAGCTGCTGCTTGAGGCAGCAAAACATCCTTTTATCTTCAGGATGGTGGTTACAAGACCAGCCACAACTCAGCCCTGAGCAAGTACACCCGTCCGCTGTTGACGAATCAACAGACTGCAGCGTTTCTAGCTCCACCGTTTAGTACCAGATTTGTGTGCTAGGTACCTCAACAGAGAGCGAACCTAAAATGGGGATGCTAAGGGACGGTTCCATTGGTATCATCCAAAACTTATCACAGTGGAAATGGAAACAATGTGTACCGAACTGAACTGAATGCCAATGCACTACTACACTAGAACACTGTTTTTCTCTTTATTTGAAAAGCACTTGGACACGCCGAATGTCACAGGATGTTGGTAATATGCTGACATTAGCAAAGCTACTAGCGTTGCAGTAGACAAGTCTTTGAGGCCGTTTACACGTCGCCGGCTATTTTCATAAACGGACATTTCACCATCTCCGTTTTCAAAAAGATCTTCGTTTACACTTACCCGTGTATATATACACAAGAGCATGCCAAACCTGTAGGTGGCAGTGTAACGAGAGGCTCAAGCCTTCCATGTATCCATTGTCACCATAGCAACATAGGTCGCACTTTTGACACAGGCGCAAGTTCCGGCGCATACTGTGACGTCGGCTGCCTATAACTCCGTTTATCTCCGTTTATCTCAGTTTACATGCAAACGCGCAACCGGAGTTTTCCAAAATCTCCACTCTGGCCGGAGTTTTTAGAAAGACTCGTTTTCAGAGGAGAAATCTCCGTTTGCGTGTAAACGAAGGGCACAAACGAAGGAAGATGTCTCCGTTTATCAAAATCACCGTGTACGTGTAAACGGCCTCTCAGAGTGTCGTGCCAAGGATCCAAAGTTTTCCAGCAGAACACTGTATTGTAACAAGGTTATCAATGTTACTCGCTTCTCCTGCCAGTGCTTTTAATGTTTTCGCTGATTGGTATTTAAGATCCAAAAACAGCTCTGAACATGCTCACAGTGGTCTAAGAGCCCATTTGGTTTGATGTCCATCATATTTGTCACATTCAGTTTCTTCAGGTGAAGTTAACTAAAAGCAACAATCTGTAAATTGAGATGTACTGACGGTACCACAGACACACATCATACAGGCAAAAAGATAAGTTCAATAGGCTTTATTAAACTTCTTTCGAGATGGTTTAGGGTGATCTGACAAAGTTCACCTCTGACACAGTATTGCACCAAGTTAAGCCTAAAGTCACCAAAAGGCCAACAGCATCGCTATCTCTTAAAAATAGAGGCAGTAGAGAAAATATGCCATCTGAACATTTTTCAGTAGTTAACCTTTTTCATAAATAGATTCAGTTCATTGTTTTGTCCATCAATCACAGCTTTATGTACAGATCATCAGGACAATGTACCACAAACTCCTCAGTAACTGTGCATTTCTACAAAATCTGATGACAAGCCAGAAAACATCTGGAGACAGGATTGCAGATCGTGTTTTTACACCTTCTTTTTTATCAATCACATTTTCAGACTAAACAATCAAGAAGAAATGCAGTCATCAAAGATCAGGCAGGGACGATAGAAATGCATATATACATACATACAGTCCATTACAGATACTGTACAGCATACTCTCTGAAAATGCAAACATAAATACAATAAACCTTTACTACACACAGTATGTACTTTCTTATCATCTGCTTTGTTTTTGCAGTACATTTTCACTGGTATACCATGATACCAAAGTAAATTTAAAGATATATGGAAACCACTGTCTCCCACTATCTTTAACAGGCATGAGAGCACTTAATTCAAACTGCCAAGGTAAGGATACAGACACCATTGGCTTTGCAGTTTAAAGGGAACAGGGTGGGAGAGGTGTAGTGCTTCTGAGCTTATATAAGATGATTATATACACATTTGGAGCTTCAGTGCATAGTTTTAACTCAGCATCACGATTATGTGCAAGGTATGAAACCAGGCAGGCAAAAGAAAGCAGCAGCTGGTGCAGACATTTGTGATTGGGATGCACTGCGGTCACTGATGGGATGTTTGCATGTTTGTTTCCAGCTCAGGAAGGGAAACAAGGTGGAGAGGTGATAAGATTATAAAACAAGGTTTACACTATAGTGTTAAGAATGTATATGGCTTTCTGCACCTTCTTATGCTTTTACATTAGAGGGTTACATTGAACTTCAAGTCATTCTTTTTCTACTCCATCAGTTTAAGGATTTGTATTAAAGATTAATTTTTTTTAAACTCATTTCTAATCAGGATTTAAAAAGAACAAACTGTAGGTACCCCCAACACGTGCGCACGTGCGCACGCACGCGCACGCGCACGCAAACACACTAACACACACACACATACTTTAAGGCTTGGTTTAGAGAAAGAAAAAAAAATAGTTGTTTAACAGAAACTCACTGTGTTCAGTCTTACAAAAAATAACTACAAATAAATGAAGATTACATTAAATTATATTTTGTGGAGAATTTAATCTGAAATCTTTTAAAATGTAGTCAACTGCCTTGCTGCAGTTCAGATCCATCTAACTGCAAACTGCACTATCATGTATTGAGCAGGTAACCTAAACATCATCATATTATCCTGGCAACATGAGAGAGCACAGGTGTGATCTGACAAGAGTATGGAGAGCCTCTCCAACTGCTTAAGTGTGCCACTTTTAGTGTTTGACAATGCTTTACAATAAAGAGAGGATATTAAAATGCTGTTAGCTAAAAAACAAACAAACAAAAAAAAAACTTGACTTCAGCTTTCAGTTTTCACCTTGAACCAATTTGTGTAATTTCCCAGTGTGACCTGGCTACAGGGCACCAGTGAGGCACATGAGGACAAGCACGTGTATTGTGAGCAAGTAGGCCAAAAAGAAATATCTAGAGCGGGCGCGGCTCGTCAGCAGCCTGGAAAAGTAGAGGCTCCTCCCTCTGAGCCACCGTCGACACACCACCATGCCACCTTTCACCTGGAGGCACAAAGAGAAAACAATCAGGGAAACAGCCCTTCACTCATATAATGATATGTAAGTGGTTTACTTGAGGCTGTCTACAGATATGCAGATATTTTTGAAAATGGATATTTCCCCCCTCCATTTAAAAAAAAACATCCTGTCCACACGATCTTCATTTTAGAAAACATCTCCATCCACACTATAATGCAAAAGGATATAGGTTAGGATTCCCTTTTTCAAATTACCCACTGGAGATCTCATCAATATTGATTCTCATTCCATAACAGGACGGAGCACCTCACTCAAAGATACGAGTGATGCTCTGGACATGCAAAAGATCTCCTTCCATAACTTAACGACAACAATCTCACTGTTGAATATTGTCCCACCATCTGCTGGTTTGACCGGATCTGATCAAAAACTGTTGCTTCTGGCGGACTTTAAACTGTGGATGCTGAGGTGGACAAAATAACAGTATGCGCAGCAGATGCCTCCAATCGTCCATAAAGTGGTGCAGCAACACAGAGTTAAGATGTAGTCATAAGACCTAGCAGTGCTAAAAAACAAACAAACTGTAAATAAACTGGTAGTCCGATGCTGTTATTGTTTCTGGCCATGGATATAGGGCTCGACAATACAGAGTATATCAAGTATATCAATACCTCATTATCATTATTGCGACGTTTGGTGCTTCACAAAATATTTATACATAAGATTTTTGATAAATAATCTTCAGTAATGTGGATATCATGTCTAAAGGCAAATGAAAGAACAACTAGAACAGTCTGGTCAGCTCAGAAAATGACATCACTTTACTGTAATGCAGCCTTTAAAACCAGAAAAAGACACGCTTATGATACTGTTATGATATTGATATATTGCCCAGCACTACATGGACACAGTGTTGCAGGCGGGTCCTGTTCATGCCTGTAAACATTGCTTGGTGACACATGAAGTCAAAAAAGTTAAATTTAACAGGTGTAAAGCTACATGGATCTTCCGCATTGTGAACCCCTACAGCAGGTGCACTACAGATTTTTGCAAGCTGAGTGGCTTGCAAAGCAGTTTTTGGGCCCTATTGCATACACGGACGAAACTGGAAGTTGTATTTTCTGTTTCTGGTGCATGCTAATTAAACAAAGCAACAATGGGGTTGTGTGATTTGAGGAGATGACGTCATTGTTTAGCCCACCGTTTTATATGTTCATATGGATACAACAGCATCTTTTTTCACTGCACCAGAAACCACTAACACTTCCTAACATCTGGCTTTTTAATGTAATGGGAGAGGTTACAATTCACATTCACACTCAGGTGAAATGAGTAGTCACGGATATTTATTGATTCCAGCTCTGAACGGCATTGATGGAAATACAACACCTGGGTGAACGCACCAATTTAGCCCCTTAGCCGGTGAGATGCAATGGTGCACCTTCACAAAAAATACCACCCGTGTCTGTCCCTGCAGCGCTCCAGCATTGTTCCAAATTAGTCTGCACCAAGTTTGAAAGAGACACTGAATAGGTAAGAGCAATATAAAAAGAAGTAATCACCTTAACATTTGCACAGCCCTCAATGCTGCTCTCTACCTGTTGTCCTGCCTGTCCTTGACATCAAATGTGACACACCATAACCCCAATTTACACTCCTCTCGAGATGATTAAGGGCTAAGTTAATGATAAAATCCTTTGTTGTGTACTGCGCACCTTTCGTGTTACTAGAGGCTGGTTTGGGTTGAGACTGAGAGCGTCCCACTCCTCTTCTGTCTCCATGTCGATACTGAAGTCCCTCTGACTGTCTCTAGATACACTGGAACCAACACTGCAAAACAAAAACATTTGAAAAAGTTCTGCACTGTTGAATATACGATATGTAATGTATGTGTGTGTGTGTGTGTGTGTGTGTGTGTGTGTGTGTGTGTGTGTGTGCGTGCGCACACAGCAGTGACAGAGAGAGAGAAAAGTGACCTCTTTGCTCTGTCCTCAGCGAGACGAAGAGCCTCCTCAGCTGTCTCTCTTCTCGCTCTCTCATCTGTCAGACTCTGCTCCAACTCAAGCAGCCTGAATACACACAAAAACATGTAAATATTTTCATGAGCTCAACCAACTACACACATTAATATCTGTAAGATAATATCACACAAAACTACAGCAAAAAATACAAAACCACACAAAGAAAAGCACAGGCGTCATCTTTTCACCTTTCTCTGAGCTGACAGGCTTCAGCAGTTTCAGCAGTCATGGAATTGTTGCTCCTCTCCTGTGGGGCTCCAGGTGCAACCTCAGCACATACTAGCCCCTGGTGGTGGGTGCACAGCATTACAGGTATATAGAGATGTAACTTTTTTGTTGCAAGATCATTTAATTGCATTGTTTGGTGTTATTTATAACATGACAGTACAGAGAGACAAGAAACAAAAGGAGGAAATGAGGATGATGCAAATATCTCCCACCAGAATTAAAATGAGTATGATGGAAATGACTTTTGACTGTCAGGGGACACATATCTGTTTATATCACTTCAAAAAAGACCAAACAAAAGCTGTATCAAAAGCCTATGAAGTGATATAAATAACATATCAAAAACAGTAAGTCATATAGAATAGATACAGATGCAGCTGCACACTGACACACTTCAAATTCACCACTGGAAGCTGTGTAGCCAACGTGAGAATGAAAATGTCAGAGGAATCTAGTTTCAGTGAATGAAGGCAAAAGTATCAGAAATGTAATAAAAATGTTTTTTTAATCTGATTTAAATAATCACTATAGATTTATGACACAGATCATTATCTTAAGGGCCAGACACAACAAACCAACATCAAAGAACTAGTAACAACTAAGGTCGACTGTTGCCTTGCGTCGCCAGTGGCTTTGCCGAAAAAGTTGCTTGAACACACTGCAAAGACTACGGTTAACGACCAGCTACTTTGTACGTTCAGTGCCTGCATGTAAGGAAATAACTCTCCACGCCAGCAGGCGGTGGTAGTCTGTATTGGTCAAAAGGGAAAACAGGAGACCAACAGGACAGATTCAAGGCACTAGGTAGTTAGCCAGTTAGTACATTAACAACACAACCTGATGTTGACAGAACAAATGATATTTAACGTGCACATGCTAACAATGACACAAACAAAACCCTTTCTGCTAAATGGCTCAATCGCTAAAAAAATGGCCTGATATAACACATTTGTTTATATTTCACACCTCTTGACCTTCATTGTTGTTTGCTTTCCTCACTTCCGCTTCTCCTCTTGTGCAGTGAACTGAACTGCCAATCAGAGTGATTTCACTCACTACCACCGATTCAACATGCTGAATTGGCTGAAAAACAGTCAACAAGTACCTGCGGTGTGGGACACACTGAAAATACTTGGGCGACATGCTCACCAACAGCCAGCTTTCAATTTGGTGTGTCAGGGTAGTAATGTGGAACAAAAAGTACCATAGAAACACCTTCTACATGAGTCAGCACAGACATGCATGTTAAGGATTTTTTTTACCTGAGTCTGGCCTTGGACTTGGTTTTCCAGCCAGTGGCAGCGACTCTGGGTGTCCCTCAGGGATTGGGAAACAGCCCTCAGCTGATCTGCAACAGCACCTTTCTCCTCTACTGCCTGCTGGAGCTGGGGGGGACATACATGGTGATGCAGCATTTATATCCTCAAAATCTTATGTAGAAAGCAATACCAATGGCTAGAAATCTGTAAAATCTGGCTGTAATCAGATCTCCAACATTATAAGTTTATTGGATTAATCAAGCAGCCATCTACACTGCCAACATTTTAGCTGCACATTTAAATGTGTTTTGTTTCAGTGATGTACAAAGGCTGCTCTAGTATACTAGTATACCTTCAGGTTGAGTTGCTGGAAGTAGTGGTCTCGTTGTTGGATCTCATACATACAGCGCTGCAGATCTCTGTGGAGCTGGATCCTCTCTGCCTCCAACCTACTCACCACCTTGTCCATTCCACTCTGACCTGCCAACACAACTGGTTCCTTTTGTGTAGAAGGAAAAAATAAAACACCTCAGAACAAGAGGATTTTGATTTAAAGAAGAAAAAGAAAAACTGACTGCTATTTGATTATCTTCACATTTGGTACAGGGTTGGGCAATAAAACAGTGATGATATTTATCTCAATATAATAATAATAATAATAATAATAATAATAATAATAATAATAATAATATATTCCTGGACAGAGACCGCCGATATAATTAAACCACCCATAACCTGTAGAGGAGGAATGGAGTGCACCTTAAACGCCAGTTGACACTTTAAATTTCTATACTGGTTTAGTGTAAAATAGTGTTTTTAAAAGGATTAAAATGTGCACAGATGACAAGTAAAATACTGGAAAAAAACTACGACACAGATCACAGTTTTCAAAAGAAGGCAGAAAATTCAGTTGTATAACTTACCGCAACTGGCAGTGTGTCCGTCCTCTCTGTGTTAGACCTTGATCACAGAAAAACCTTTAGTTCGTAACACTTTAGTTCTACGCACTCAAGTAACACAGCACAACATATCAAATTTCTCATTTAACAGTAGTTTGGTCTGATACCACAGGCCTGACCATAATGCTAGAATCTACAGTTACTTCCGTGCCAACACATAGACACAGTAAGCTGACTACATGACAGCAGCAGGCGATCACTAAGGTTTGGAGAAAATCAAACCTCTTACTTGTTGAGGTATGTGACACAATTTCTTGTTTGAGCTAAGAAATTTTGGGAAAAGCTACACTTTAAGTACAAGCTGTGGTCTACCACTGTTAAGCCCAGGTCATACAAATGATTTGCAACGAGACAAGTTAAAACGTGCAACTACTTGCAATTCGCCATTCTGCCATGTTCTAACAACCTGCTGGTTCACACTAATGCAACTTGATGAGATGATGTATCATCTCTATGCAACAACTCTCTGTTCTTCCGTTCTGATTTCCAGCTTTTAAGGCTTATTTTGAAACAGAGCGCTCAGCAGGTATGGAGCACCTATTGCAGCAAGCGAACATGTTGTCTGCCGTCATTTTGACTTGACCAGCAGACTTTACTACAAGCCAATTGGCTGTTGAAACAGGTGACATGCTTTACGTTCTAAAACCAGCCGAGTTGCAGGTGACGTCATCAGCTGGCTTGAGTCGAGCTCAGACCGGCCAGTTCACAACTCTGCAACTTTCCTCTCAATTTTAAGTTACTCTTTTAATTAAAAGTACATGTTTAGTTTATCTTTACTTATCTTCAGTCTGTGTTTACCTCAGATCTGTTGTTTCTTCCTTGTAGCTGCTGATTTCATTTTCAGGTGGTATTCTGTAAGTTTGCATCGTCTTTACGGTTTGCTGTAGTTCATCCATATTCCGCCTCACCTCCTGCAAAATCATCAAAGTCATTAGTCACAAAGATAACACTACTCATCTTAAAAAACAATGTTATCAAACTGAACTTCACAAACACCAGAACATGTGCAACATGTCCAACAAAAAATACCATGCAAGTCATAGCAATAATATCATATCAGGGTTGTAAATTAACTTTTTTGTCCACCTGGCATTGTGGCTGGTGGATTCCAAAATCTACCAGCCACTCAATAGATTACCACTGTTTTTTTGAGTGAATCAGCCACTTGCATATTTTACCAGCATTTGTCTGGCGCTAATTTCCAACCCTGATGTTATGTATTAAAAAATCTAACTAGACACTTCATGCTTTCCACAAAATGAAATCCAGCGGAGAGGAAGTGCAAGCAACAGCCAAACTCATATCACAGCTGAAGACTTGACTTACCAGCCCTTCTTTCTCATTCTGGAGAGCACTGACGCCACTTTCTTTTGACTTTTCCACACTCACAGAGGTGACAGTCTCTGGGCTTGACCCTTGCCTAGACTCAACCACTCTTTTGGCCCCAGCCAACTCATCCATCAGCCTGTCACGATCATTTTGGAGGCTGGCCATGGACCTGGAGAATGCAGACAGCTGTCTGCTGTACATATTATTCTCCAGGACGACCTGCTTCAGGTCCCTTTCCTTCCCTGACAAATCCTTTGACAGCTGATCCAACAAATTGCTCAGCTCTGTGTCAGAGTCTTTGCTCTCTAAAGCTTTTAATTTTTGAACAAGGATGTCTCTCTCTTTAGCAAACATCGCCAAGTCAGACATGGCATCCTGCAGACTGCGCTCAACCTTGTTCAAGGCTGCTTGAGTTTCTCTGAGTTCTTCATCATATCTGTTTCTCAGGATCTTGAAGTCTTCAATGAGCTGGTCTCGGTCATTCTGCAGAGCAGCCATGGCTTTGCACATGGATTCATTTTGAGCCCTCATGTCTTTGCTTTGTGTTTTGGCCTTTGATAGCTGTTGCTCTATTTCCAGTAGGTCTTTAGCCAGCTCTGCCACCCTTTGATCGGCTGTCTCCCGCTGGTTTCTCATCAGCTCCACCTCACGCTCGAAGGCGTCCAGCTCGTTGTTGTATTTGTCCTCAGCTTCAGCCAGCTTTTTGTCTGTTTCATTTTCCACTAGGTGCATTTTTTCCTTGAGCTCATCAGTAAGGATTTTCTGAGAAAGAAGTTTTTGCTGGAGGTCATTACATTCAGCTGCTTTGGCTGCCACAGCTTCCTGCAAATCGGTAATCACTTAGCCTTCATTTGTCACGGCTCTTTCCTTTTTCAGAGTTATTACATCAGCCTCCAGGGTTGAAACCTGAGCTTTGAGTTTAGACATCTCTGCTTTTAAAGTATTGCTCACCTCTTCTTCCTTTTGAAGTTCCAACTGGGACTCTCGGTATTGTTTTTCAGCTGCAGCCTTTTGGTTTTCTAGGTTTTTGATCACATCCTGCTGCTTCTTCAGCAGCACCTTCAACTGGTTGTCCTTCAGGAACAAAACCTGATTCAAATCCTCTCTGTAGCGAACCAGCTGTGCCCTGAGCATAGCGTTCTCTGAATTGAGATCATCCATTTGATGCAACAGTTTCCTTATTTCATGTTTAAGGCCTTTGGTGGCACCACCTTCCCCATCAGGAGAGCCCTCTTTACCCTTTATCCCTAACTGACTCTTTGCTTCAAGTATTCTGTATTCTGACATCAGTCGCTCCCGTTCACTCTGTAAAGACACCATTGAGTTCTTGAGTGATTCCATCATAGCAGCCATCTGCTCCTTTTCCTGGGCAGACCTGTTAACTGTAATTTGCAGACTTTTGACCTTTGCTTCAAGGCCTCTTAACTCTTTGTCAGCCTTTTCTCTCTGGTAGCGTGATGATGTCAACCTGTCCTCATACACTGCTACCTGGGTGCGGTAATTAGCCTGGAGTTGTTCTAGATATCCTGACATCTGCCCATCTCTACAGGACAGCAAAGATGAGATCTCAGCATCTTTGCCCTGGAGGAGTGTTTTCAGCTGCAGAGAAATTCCCTCCTGCTTCTCAAAGTCGGCTTGAACTTTGTCATTTTGAGACTGTAAAAAGAGCAGCTGAGCATCTGAGTCCGCATATATCTTCTCTATCTGCTGGAGATTTAGCTGCATTTGGGAAATCACATCCTCTTTGTCAGCAAGCTGTCGGGTCAGTGCGATTTTATCTTGTTCCATTCTTTCAGCGTGAGCACTGAGTTCTTTTACCTGCACAGTCATAAGCTCCATGGTCTCACTAAGTTCAGCATTGCTAGCGCTCATGACAAACAGCTGTCTCTGCTGTGCAGCAGCAGCGACAGAGTATTCATTAAGAGTCCTCTCCAGTCTTGACTTGGTCACTCGTAGTTCATTCACCTCTTTATCTTTCACTCTCATGTCTTCCAGGAAACGTTTGATCATAAAACCCTGTTCGAGGAGCTGATTATCCTTCTCATGTAATGTCTTTTGGTACAAATCATTCCAAAGTTTGGAAGCATCTGCACCTTGAGAAGTGGCAGATAAAGCAGACAGCTTTGCCTCATTAGTCTCAGCTGCTCTTCTTAGAGTATTTATCTGTAGATCTTGAGAGTCCAGGTGCTGCCTCAGTTCACTCACTTTTTGACTTTCTTTATCTTTAAGGGCCTTAAGATCATCTACCTGTTGCTGTAACATAAACTGATTCTCCATGTAAGAATTGAATTGCCTCTCATCTATATTTTGGGGCGATTGTGGTTTCTCCATGACCTGATCCTCAGACTTTTTACTTTCCTGAGATATTTCCAGAGCCAGCCGGTCTCTTTCAGACTCAACAACAGAGATCTTTTCTGTGGCCTGCTGAAGGAGATTCTTATGTGTTACCAGCTCAGCTTCAACTAGTTTACTTCTATCCTCTAAAACAGACATTTTCTCTGAGCTTTTCTTCAATTCTTTCTCTAAGTGTTCACAGGCGGACCGTGAGGTCTTCAAAGAGCCCTCTAAATCTAAAATCAGTTCCTGGTATTTTATGCAGTTTTGCTGCAGCTGATTTATCTCCTGATGCTTTTCTTTCAGTAGTTCCTGAAGTTCTTTCTTCACATTCTTGGAGCCCTCACTGCCTCTCTGGACCGTCTTGAGCTTCTCCTCAAACTCTCTGACTAATTTGAGCTGCTCCTCCTCTTTTTCTTGACGAACTTGACAACTCATCTCTTTACTGGCTGTCAGCTGAGAGGACAGCTGCTTGTTTTGGGTTTGCAAATCAGAGACAGACTCAGTCAGTTCGTCAATCCTTTCAGAGTTTTTGAGGATCACAGTTTCCAAATATTCATTTTCATTTTTCACTTTGTATGAAATTTCTTGAACATTTTCAAGCTCTTCCTGCAGAAGAGACTTATCATCCTCCAAGATTTTCACCTTCTCATTAAGACTAATGGTTTCCTGGCTGTGTCTATTAATTATGTCTTTGAGCTCTTTAATGTCATCCACCTTCTTTCCCAACTGCAATTCATGATCATTCTGCATCTTCTGAATTCTTTCAGAAAGATTTTGCTTCTCCTTTTGTAACAAATTGTTGATTTCCAACTGAACACAGAGTTCTGTTTTCTGGGCCTCAATCTGGGCAGTTAGTGAATTATTCAAAAGGAGTGCTTCATCGAGTTTAAGCTGCATGTTATTTGTATAAATATTCGATTCCGAGTACTTCTCTTCCAACAAACGGCTAATGTCCTCTTGCTTTTCTGTCAGTTGGGTATTTTCAACCTCCAATTCAGCAAGCTTCTCCTGGAGGTCCTCTGATGACCCTTTAAGTCTGGAAATCTCTGCCTCCAATTCTTGATCTTTATCAATAAGCTCACACATTGCCATTTTGTGGTTTTCCTCAAGCTCAGTCAGCTCTTTCCTAATTTTCTGATTCTCTTCCTCCAGCTCCTCAATCCTTTGCTGTTTCTCTTTGGAAAATTGGTGCATCTTCTCTTTAATTCTTCTGTTTTCTTCATCCATCTCCCTTGCTTGTTTCTCCAGAATCTCCATCTCAGTCTCATGTTTGTGGATTTTTCTGAGGGCTTCCTGCCTATCTCTTTTAGCCCCCTCTAAAAGCTGTCTCATCTTATCCATTTCACTGCTAACATTTTCATAAGCTTGTAAAAGGGACTCATACTCTTGTTTCAGCTCAGCATGCTTTGACTTCCACTTGGACAGCTCCTCTGTTTGAGAGTCTTTAAGAGATTCAAGCTGGCAGGAGAAAGCTTGTTTCTGCTGGGTGATGTTTTCTATGGTTAGTTTTAAGCTTTCACAGGCTGCTGACAGGTTGCAATTATCATTAGCGATGCCATCAACTTCATTGCTGAGTTTGTCTTTCTCCTTGTTCAGAGATGATACGGTAGTCTCCAGGTCCATATTTTGCTGCCTCAGCTTCAGCACTGATGATTCCAGAGTTAAGTATTCAGCTTCTTTAGCTTCATGTTTGGCTGACAGCTTTTCTACTTTGTCTTTGAGTGTTGCATTTTCCTTTAAGAGTTCTTTCCTAGAAACTAAAGCTGCTTGAAGTTTCCTGGTTAGGAGAGCAATTTTTCTTTGGTTGTCCTGATTATTCATTTTGGTGCCATCATCTTGAGATTTCTGAAGCTCATCAGCCTCTGTTCTCATGTTTTCAATGGTAGTTTCATGTATTTTAATTTGTTGCTGTAACTGCTGTTCAAGTACAGCAATAAGGTCTTCCTTTTCTGAAATTTGAGCCTGAGAAACTAACAAGGCATCATCTCTCTCTTTTAGTTCCCTTTCAAAGTTTTCAGCGCATTTACAAGAAAGACAGATGGATTCTTTGTTAACATCTTCCTGTTTGATGCACATTTCAGGGTTTTGTTGATGTAGCTGCTCATTTACTTTCTCTTTAAGTTGCTTATTTAGAGTAGTTACCTCTTCACTGAGTTTATCGATTAATCTGAAAGCATTTTCTTTTTCTTGCTTCAACAAATCCAAATTCCTTTGTTTTTCAGTGCAATGCCATTGTGCTTTTTCAAGCGCTTCAGTCAAAACACCTTTGTCATCACTGAGCTTCTGCTGGGTTTCTGCCAAAATCTTTTGGATAGTTGAAACTTCCAAGGACTTCTGTGAAGCTAAGACAGCTGCTGTCTCAAGTTCCACTTTCATCTTATCATTTTTTTCCAAAAGAGCCTTGTTTTCTTCCATCAAATGTTGATATTTTTCTTTACTTGCATGCATGTGTTCCTCAGAGATGCTCAGCTGGGACTCCAAAACTCTGTTTTTATTAAATAAAGCTTGCTTCTCTTGTTGCATCTTTAGCTCAGCAACTTTAATTGTTTCCTGATATTTCTCAACCTGTTCTGTTTTTTCTTTTACTTCTGCATGGCTCTTCTTTAAGTCATTCTTTACCTCGTGAAGTGTTGATTTCAAATCTTTTGCTCTTTGCTCCATGACTACCAGAGCCTCATCTTTACTTGCCATCTCAAGAGACATGCTCTCAAATTTGGATTTAACATTTTCTAGCTCTGTTTGCAAGTTTAATAAAGAATGACACTGGCTTTCTTTCTCAGCCAGAGACATCTTCAAATCTTGTAGAGTTGTATCCCTCTCCTCCACAAGCTGTCTTAAAGTGCCCAGTTCATCTTGATCAGACACACAGCTTTTACGAAGGTCCTCCAGTTCCCTGACTTTCTCGTCAAAGCGTAATTGGATGGCGTTTAGCTCGTTTGTCTGCTGACAGCGTTGTTCCAAGAGAGCCTTGTAGTCAACTTTCAGCTCAGAAAGTTCTTGAGTTAATTTCTTTTCACTTTCTTGAGCTTTCTTCAGTGTCTCTTTACGTGCCAGCAGAGCAGCCTGGGCCTTTTTCTGTAGCGTCGCCTTTTCAAGCTTCATCTGTGCAAGCTCATTTTCAAAATCAACTGCGGTAGCTGTGGAAGAAGATTTGTCCTTTAATTCATCTTTACATGTCTTGATTTCATTTTGAAGCTCTTCTAATTTCTGCGCCCAGAGGGTTCTTTCTCGTTCAAATGCTTCTTCTCCCTCAGCAGCACTGGACTGCAGCTGCTCCATAACAGAGCTTTTCTCTGTCAGTGTTTGCAAAGTTTCTGACAAACACACTTCTTTCTCATTGATTGAGACTTGCAAAATGTGTTTTTCTGACTGTAATTGTTTGACAAGTCTTTCACTTTCTGTTTTGCAATCAAGTATCTCTCCTTCTTTCTCAAGAATTTTCTTTTCGAGAAGAGCAACAGTTTCTTCGTACATTTTTTCGGTGGCCTGAGCTTGATTCGTTACTTCCTGTAATTTATCCTGTAAAAGTGAAACCTCACTTTTACTATTTGCACTCTCTTCTTTTTGGTTTTCATACTGCTCAATTTTTTTCAACAAATCCTTTCTTACAATGAGAGCAGCTTGAAGCTTTTTCTTCATTGCATCTTTTTCTTTAGACACCTTGGCTAGTTCATTCTTCAGATCATCATTTTCTTTAATCAGCTGAAGTTTCTCTGAATTCTTGGTCTCAATTTCACTTTGAGAGCATGAAATACATTCCTCTAACTGCTGAGAAATTTCTTCAAGCCTCGTCATGGAGGTTTTGTGTTCTTCCGCCATGCTTTCTAACTGTGCTGTTAGTGATGCTTTTTCCTCACCCAGTTTCATTCTTTCATTTGAGGCAGATTCCATGACTTGGGCAATGGATGCATCCTTATCCCTTAACTGCTGACTAAGTCCAGCAAGTAATTCCTTCTGCTGACTTATCTGAATACTCATACAACTGATTTGGTCATCTTTTGCTTGTGACTCTCTGTGTAAAGAAGAGTGTTTGACAGTAGCTTCTTTCTCTTTCTCTAACTCAGCACTGAGCTGAGTCTGTAGATGCTCTACCATCTCCTGCAACAAAGCTATTTGTTGACCACTCTCTTCACTCCTCCTCTCGCTTTCATTAAGTGTAGTCTGTGTTATTTGTAACTGTGTGATAGTTTTATCCAACTCATTTTTCAAAGCATCTACCTCAAACCGATGACTTTCTTGTAATTGTTTTATCATGTCCTGCAATGAGGTCTTTCCTTTCTTTCCAGTAGCTGATCTCTCAGATGGGGTTGGTGGTGAGACAAAGGAATCTTTGTCAGTGCCATTTTTTCTCCCTAGAAGTTTTTGTAACTCAAGTTCTGCAGCTTTTAGAGCCTGTTGCAAATCATAGTTGTCATTATCCTTTTTCTGGACAGATGCTAATACCTTCTCAAGTTGAATCCTTAATGCTGATGCCTCCAACTCTTTCGTGCTCAGTTGATCAGACCCCTGCCTAATTGCAGAGGAAGCCTCTACTAGTTTCTCCTGCAAACTATCCAGGTCTCCTTTCAAAGCACTAACCTTAACATCTTTAGACTTCATTTCATTTTCAACACTTCTCAGTTGCTCTGCAAGTAAATTCTTATCCTGTTTTTCTCTATCCAGGACTAACAACCACTCTTTCTCAGAATCCTGCAGAATTTGCTCTATCTTTTGAATGTTTTCTTTTAATAGAGAAACCTCTTCATCTTTGGCACTAACCTTTGCTTGAAGGCCCTCCTTCTCCGACATCATTTTCTCCATTATTTCATTCATGCTGCTGGACTGCTGCTCCATTTGAACCTGCAGCTCCCCCTGCGATGCCCATATTTGATGATGCTTCCTTTCAAGCTCTTCCCTCTCTGCAAGATGTTTTCTAACTTCCTCTTGTAAATGTGTGTTTTCATTACTGAGCACAGAAAGAAGCTTCTGGTGCTCTTCCTTTGACAAACTAACCTCCTCAATTAGTCTCTTATTTTGCTGCTCTAGTTTCTGCATTTCTGAAACCAGCTGGGCTGTGTGTTTGGCCTGGGATGTGTACTGGCTGTTAATTGCGTGGAGAGCCATTTCTCTCTGTTCAAGGTTTTCTGTCAGTGCATCCATCTGTGCCACAACTTGAAGATGCTGTGATTTGAGTCTTTCTATTTCAACAGTAAGCAGTGACACACTTGCTTGATGAGAAGCAAAAGCTTCGTCCTTTTCCTTTGAAAGACTGGAGTTGAGGTCCTCTGTCTTCTCAAGTTTGTGATGGAATGCAGACAATTCATTTCTCAGTGTTTCTATCATGGTCTTTGCCACCTGATGTTCATTATTGATGTCTTCCAGTGACTTCTGAAGGCTGGACACTTCACCAGTTCTTTTGGACAACTGCTGTCTCACATCTTGTAGCTCCTCTAAGTTAGCTGCATATTTCTCTTGTAGGATGTTCAGGGCACCTTTTGTTTCCTCTGCTGACTTTTTGAGGTTTCCAGACTCAGTAGACAGTACCTGAATATGACTCTGTAGCTGTGACACCAACTCTGTGCTCTCCATGAACTGAGTTTTGAAGAGCAAAGCCTCATCTGCTCTTCTCTGAATTTCCTGAAGAGACTTTGATTGGTCTGAAAGAGTTAACTCTTTTTCTTCCAAAGCCTTTTTCAAACATTCCACCTCAGATATCTGCACTTGGAGGGTGCTGTTGAGCTTTCTGACTGATTCTTCAAGGTGTGAAGTCTGTTCTTTTAAGCTCTCACACTCAGCCTCTTTGGCTTGTAGATTTGAATTGAGACTTTCAACAGCAGCTGAAGAATGACTTTGAAATTCAAGACTTGACTGTTCCTTTTTCTCTAAAGCATTTTTCAGCATGGATGACTCAGAAGAAAGACTGTTAACTTGCACTCTGAGTTTACAGACAGAATCTTCAAGCTCTGAAATTTTTGCACTTAAACTATCATTGTCATTTGCTTTCTGTTTCAGCTGCATCTCCTGGTCAGTAATCCTGCCATTGAGTTGCTGGATTAAATTCTCCTGCTGTTTCAGAGACTCATCTTTTCCTCGCACAGTCAAAGTAAGCCTCTCATTCTCTGAGACAGCAGTTTTAAGTTTGTTTTCCCCATCAGAGACTGCTGTTTGAAGGTGTGTGACCTCTTCTTGTGCTTTGGTCAGCTCTGTCACAGTTTTTTGAAGTTCAGATTTTATTCTTGTATTCTGCTCATTCAGTGCTTGAATGTTATCTTGAAAATCAGTGATCTCTGCTTTCCTCTGGTCCTCCTTCTGTGACAGCTGACAATGTTCTGCAGTGAGTTTTTGCACAGCGGACTTAAGGTTGGTAATTTCAACCTCCGTCTCTGCAGCGTTTTTGCTCATGGCACCAAGCTGAGTACTAAGTGAGAGCACTGACTCATTCCGTTTATTCAGCTCCTCTTTGTGGTTTTGAAACTCGTTTGTTACTTCTTTCAATGTCTGTTCTTTTTGTTCTATCTGCTGTTTTGCCTCCAAGCACTCTTTTCTGAGTGACTCTATCTCACCCTGCATCTGTGATACGAGGGCTTTTTGTTGCACAACTTCTTCTTGGTAAAGGCTACACTCTTCTGCTCTCTGCTTAACCATTGTGTCTTTCTCCATTAGCCCTGACTTGAGGACGGATCCTTGTTCCTGAAGCATAGATACAGTATCCTGAAGTTGCAGGAGTTGGTTCTGCTGAGCTTCCAACTGTGAACTCTGCTGTGAGACTGTTTGTCCTTTCTCATTCAACAACGCATTGAGTTGACTAACTTGCTTTTCGAAGCCGTCAACCTGCTCCTGTAGACTTTGAATTTGTTCTTCTCTCTCCCTTAACATTTTAAACAGATTAGTACATTCACTTGTTTTCTCAAGCAAACCTTCAGAAAGTGACTGCTTGCTTTCCTTGAGCATCTTTTTTAATTCATCTTCTGCGATAATGAGCTTCTCCTTTTCCTTCAACAGACTGTCAATCGTTAACCGATCCTCTGAGATTTGAATTTCAAGGCCAGAATTGTGTTCTTGGAGTAAACTCCTCTCAGTGGTTAGTTCAGAAACTGATTGGCTGTTCTGTGTTAACTCCTCTTGCAGTCTCTGATTGTTTTCTGTTAGACTGCTAATCTTCATGCTAAAACTTGAGTTCTGTTCTTGAGTTGCTTTAAGCTTTCCATTAAGTTCAGATAGAACCTGCGTTTGCTGAGCAAGCTCCTTTTCTCTGGATCCACAAGCAGCACGGAGTTGCTGGTGTTCCTCAGTCATTATCTTGATGTGGCTGTTTAAGCTAGCCAGCTCTGTTTGCCTCAGCTCTGCTTCAGACTCAAACTTTCTGGCATTTTCTTCCATGACACGGATTTGCTCACTGAGAGACATAACAGTCTGGTTTGTATCATTCAATTCTTCTTTGTGTTTCTGACACTGTTGGGTCATATGTTTCAATATTTCTTCTCTCTCCTCAATTTGCTGGCATAGTTGTGAGTGTTCTTTACTAAGTGATTCAGCTTCTGCTTGTAGCTTGGATACAATATTTTTCTGGTGTGTCACTTCGTTCTGCAAACTGTGGTACTCTTCCTGCTTCTCTTTCAACATTGTATCCTTCTCCAGTAAGCCAGACTTGAGACTGCATTCCTGTTCTCGCAGCAGAGACAGCGTCTCCTGAAGTTGCGTTAGCTGTATTGTTTGGGCCTCTATCTGTGTTCGATGATCACTGACAGTCTGTTCTTTTTCTGCCATGTCATGCTGGAACTGGTCTACCTTAGAAGTCAAGCTTTGCACTTGTTCCTGCAGTTGTGTCACCTTCTCCTCCCTCTCTCGTAGTAACTGGCTGAGATTACTACATTCATTTGTTTTTGTCAGTAAAATTTCTGAGTTTGAATGAGTGCTTTGCTCAAGAACTTTATTTAACTCATTAGTTTGAAGAGTCAAATTCTCTTTATCTCTTTGGAGCCCTTCAATGATGTTGTTGTTTTGTGAATGCTGCTTTTCCAATATGGATATTTTGGCTTGCAAGGAATCTTTTTCAAATGTAAGTTCTGCAATATTTCTTGCGCTTTTAGTTGCTTCCAGTTCAAGTCTCTCTTTCTCTTTTGTGAGGCAGTCTACTTGATTCTCAAGACTGTGGTTGAGTTCAAGAGCAGATGTAACCTTTTTACTAAGTTTATCAACATTCTGCTTCTGTAGCTCAAGTTCCTCTGTCAGCTCTTTGTGTTTTTCTTGCAGCTGTTTTTTCTCTGTCTTCATGCTTTTTAATAGATTCTTGAGTTTGGAGATATTTTCAGATTTACTTTGAAGTTCACTGCTTAATTTCTCATTTTCTGAATGCCTGACTTGCAATTCAGTGATGAATTTCTGCCTCTCATCTTTGGCCTGTTTATCAGTTGCCTTAAGTTGGTTTTCCAGTGATGCTATGGTTTCCAGTTTCTCTTGTATCTCCTTTTTGATGTGCTCCTCACTCCGTACTTGCTCTTCTAATTGTTTGGACAATGTCTGCCTTTCATTACTGTATTTTTCCACCTGTGCCAAGAGTTTGTTCTGTTCATCCTTGAATGATTTTAGTTGTTTTTCATACAGCTGTTCTTTATCACTGAGCTGTTGCTGTAGCTGCTCATTGCTGGTATTTTTGTCCTTGAGCTGTAAAAGAAGTTCTTCTGACTCCTGCAGCTTTTGGGTGGATAACATCAGGTGTTCCTTTAGTGAAGTGACATGTGTTTCACATTCGGAAAGATGATTATGATGGCTCATAATCTGTTTCTGAATCTCCCCCCGCAGGTCCTGAATGGTTTTCTTGTCCTCTTCAGCCTGCTTTATCAGATGTTCCAACTCAGCCCCTTTAGACTCTCTTTCCTCTTTGGTTTTGACCAACTCCATCTCTGTATCCTTGAGTTTCTCGACCAGCTCTGTGATCTTCCTATCCAGGGCTTGCTGGTCTGAAGTCTGGGAGTCTCTGATAACCTTGGCCTCCCGCTCTGCCTTACTCAGTTCATTTTCTACATGAACCAGGTTCTCTTCTTTGAGTTTAATCTCGTGCTTCAGTACTGTGACCTGCTCTGCATACTCTGCCATGTTACCAGATAAGTTTGAAATCTCCTCTTCCTTTTCCAACAGTACATCTTTAAGTCTATCAATTTCCCGCTCGCAGCTTTGAAGGTCATGGATGAGTTGGGCTCGTTCTTCCAGGTGGGCAGAATTTAATTTGTCCAGCTCCTCGTTTGTCTGATCCAGCTCAGTTTGTAAAGTTTCTATGGTGACTTCCTGCTTTTGTGCCTGAAAATAAAGAGAGAAAAATGATGAAGCATCGAGTGAGGCAGCAGAAGTTTTATCACCAGTGCAAAGCTGTATAGGACTACCGTGCAATGGATTAAGAAAAAATAAAATTAAATAAAGAATGATGTTCAGATTAATAAAAATCACACCTTGTCCTTCAGCACATTCAGCTTCTGTGTGAGGTCAAAAACTTCTGATTTCAACTCAGAGCACTGTTTCTCTGAGCCGCTAAATTTCTTGGAAACATTCTCAAGCTGCAAAAAAAGAAACAACAACAAAATGAACTATTGTTAAATATGGAAGTGTGATAAACAGAAACAAACAAACAAAAGTGTGTCTTACAGTGTGTTCAGTCTGAAGGAGCTTATCAGACACCTCTTTGTACTGAATTTCTTTTTCACTCAGGGATTCTCTGAGGCTGCTGATGAGCTCAAGTTTCTCAGACGTCTTGGCCAATGTATTCTCCTTTTCAATGAGTGAGCTTTCCAGGCATTCTTGTGTGTTACTCAACCTAAAAAACACAATCATAACTGTCAAAACAATCTCAGTTAAAACATGTACCATTTGAAATATACCAATATTAAATATATCTATATTAAATACTAGGATGTATGCAACAATGCCAGGAAAAGAAAAACACATATCAGGCGGGCGATACCAATCACAGGCACAATGAGGATTTGTCAGTTACAGAGATATTGTTCGTGTCCTGTTTGTGTCTTTGGCACAGGTTTTGTCACAGTTAAATTATCCACAATACTAAATGTTAAAGACAAAACTTAAGGAAATGTTAAATACAGCCTAGAATAAACAATGATATATCTTCTCAAGTGCCTTGTAGTGTACCTTCTCTATTATTTTAAATAATGAATGTGCTCTCATTTCAGGGTGCATGTTTGTCATTGAAACTTTTCCCCCTCACCTATGGCGTTGAACATGTGATCAAGTGGTAATAGCTCTACTGTTCTACATTTATACCGAAGTGATCTGTAGGTTTATAATGCTCTATAATCTGATTGTTACCAGTAGGATAAATAGGAGCTACTCAAAAGTAAATTTAAGGGTGTGTTGAAACAGAAGTACATGAAACAGATAGTCTGTGATTAAAAAATCAAATCTCTCCTCTTCCTACTGCTTCTAATGGCTTTTGCAAGAATCTACTGTGGTGCTGGCAGCAACAACCAATCAGAGCTGAGGAGTCTCTAATGCAGCTGTCAGTCATGTCAACCGCTCTATGGACTGCAGGCATCATTGGCATCAAGGCATCAAATCTAAATCAAGATTGTGTTACTGCATTGCCCATTTCTCACCTCAGATGTTTTCAGAAACATATTTTAGTAGGGGTGGGGGGAAAAACAGTTCTACAATACATCGCGATGCGGACATGGACGATTCAGCATCAATTCACAAATGTCAATAAATGTTTATGTAAATGTTTGTTCATATCATGATGTTGATGGAACAAAAGAAGCAGAACTCAACTGTGTAGTCAGTGTAGCACCTGGACAGTCTACAACACGGACAAGCTAGAGTTAACTTGTACTAATTCATCTTCACAAAAGACAGCGGTTGTAAGCCTAATTTAATGACTACTTATGCCATCACCCAGAGACTAACATTAACGAGAGGAGCAGCGATCAGCTTGTATACTGGCTGACCAACCAAATTAAAACACGTCTGTGGTGAAGAAAATGACTCTCTGCTTAGTCTGTTTTACCTTAAATACCCTGTGCCTGGCCTGCCCAGTGTCTTGGCTTTTTCGGGCGCTAACGGAGTGAGAGGCTGCTCGCAGCTCCTCTGCTAGCATAATGTAAACAACAGCACAGCGGCTGCCGCAGAGCACTCTGCTTCCCCCTCATGCTATTCTTATTCATACAGGAGACTTTAAGGTGCTTTCAAATTAATTTACTCAGTCATCAATGCAGTAACTTGGACAGTATATTACTGAATAGAACATGAACTTCATACTGCTTCAGGGCAAATATTACAGCAGGCTATGCAAACACTGGACTCTACTCAGGCGTGTGTATATCCCATATATATGTGTATCCCACAGTGGACAAGCGTGAGCATCCGTAGATGGACACAATCCGACTGGCACCCCCTGATTCAAAAGTGAGGGTATGAAGGTAGGTTGGAGGGGAAAGGGACCTGGACAAAATTATTTGTTTATTTAATTAGGGATCACCAAAAATACAGTATGCTATCTTTAAAAAAAGAGAGAAAAATAAATCAAACATTTTGATGTGATGCATCCATAATCGTTTTATTACGGAATCGTGACCCTCTGAATCGTAATTGAATTGAATCTTGAGGTCCCTGGAGTTTCCCATCTCCATATTTTAGTGTATTGTTTAGCTGTAAAACGAGAAAGTTGGTCTGGCTGGTGGGTGGTGCTTTAACTATATCCAACATGGCAGCCAGATTACAAATGTTCTCATCTTACAGCTGCACAGTACACGAAAACATCGGAGGTGAGAAATAGACAATGCAGTAACACAATCTTGATTCATATTTGATCAGCGCTACCTAGTTTGACAGTTTAACAGCAGTTCACAGGCAGTGATTAACATGATTGACAGCTGCGTTAGAGACTCCTCAGCTCTGATTTGCGGTTTTCGTTTACATGCAGTCAGGCCATCAGAAGCACTACAAGGCAATCAAGAAGGCAGAGGAATATGTTTTTTTCACAGTTTATTTGTCTCGTTTAGTGCTGTGTGAATATAGTGACAGTTTCAGCAAATATGAAAAAAAAAGTTATTTTTTATAAACGTTCCCTCCACATATTGTGAAGATTGATTTAATTTTGTAGTTTTCGTTATTCATTTATTGATTGATATTACTGTTTTTTACAAAATTCATAGAAGGTTTGATTTCACTTGATGAATGTGACCAATCAGGATACATTCTGTGGACTTGTTTGAGCCTAAGGCAAAAGAGCACGTGATTTGAATTAGTGTTTGACAGTTACAGGACAAGAAGGGATCTTGACTTTTGCCAGATGGTGTTCTTACTGGAAGGTTTTGTTGACTTATTTTTGCATTTTGTATTTTCTGCTGTTTGGTGTAACGAAGCCATACCAGAGACTATTTCTGAAGAGTGGATCAATTTTGTAGGAGAAGGAGCACAAACTCAATATGTTTCTTTGAAATCGCCCTGACATTGAAACTTAGTCTCTAAACTATTAAAGGAAGCTACCATTAACTTTTTAACAATGTTTATTTAATTGCTAAACAAATGCCTTCTAGAAGCCAGGAACTGAGGGTGGATACTACAAGTTGAAAATAATTTCGTTATTAGAAATGAACAGGCAGCTTTCATAAACAATCTTTCACTCTGCATCCTGCTATATTTCAGTGTGATACGAGGTAGCTATTTCTGCTGTGATTGAATAGCTTACCCTTTGAGCTGTTCATTGAGACTGCTAACAAGCAGCTGATGCTTCTCTGCATCTCTGCTCTGTTGACTTCGGACGCTGGCAAGTTGGCTCTGTAGTTTGTCTGACTCATTCTGTGGTGGCGGAAAAAGAAAGATCAATGTGTAAAGATTAAAGACAGAGCACTGAATAAAAAAGTCACTGCACACGGATATGGACGACAGCAGACTTGCTGGAGAACAACATCAAAGGACACTTGTAATTAACAGTCACTGTTATTATTATAGTCACCATCAGAATCTTTGATATTATCAAATTATTTCCCCCATTAACATGGTATTAAAGAACTGTCCTATATTCACCACTTTTGACAGTTACAAATAGGGGTGTATGGATCCATTGATCTGGATCGATATATCGATTCGATGATCAACAATCCAATATCATGGATGCAAAGTGAAAACATCCATCAATATCATCGTCTTAAGGATACGGCACTATTTTAAAGTCTGTGTCATTGTCGAACAACAGCAGGCAGCTGGCAAGCAGCTGAGAGAAAGATGATCAGGATAACGCTATTTACTTGGGAAAAAAATCAGCAGTGTGGACATATTTTGGATTCTAGAGAAAATACAGGTCAACAGACAGAGCACATGCTGTATGTAAACAATGCTGTTATGAGATAGAACACGACATATCTGCCTGGACAGGCATCACACTCTGCTAACCTCCTGCAGCAACAATAGCTGCTCTGTTTCAACAATGTTAGCTGAAAAACGTGCATGCAGGCTGAAATTCTACCCTGCTGTTCTGTCGGGAGACACAGTGACTTAAACCAACGGTGAGTAAGAAAAGGTATAACTAATACATGGAATTTGTTAAGGTATGAGTTAGGGCTGAAACAATTCCTCGAGTAACTCGAATAATTCGATTACTAAAAAGCCTTGAGGCAAATTTGCTTCATTAAATTCAGTACAACTATACAGCGCACTGAGTTTCTCATAAATGTTTATGTCTGTTAGACAACCTGCTTACGTTACTTCCGCTGTAGAGCTATAAATTAATCGTCAATAATCTGTCTGACGTGTTATAATGAAGGTTGAAATATCATTGCCATGATGTTTTGCAGGTAGGGCTACATGTGATGAATTAGTGGCACGGGCACTATTAATAGCCACAGCTATGCATAATGGTCGCACGTAATGACAGCTGTTCTGTCGGAGAACCACGTTGGTGCGAGACAGTCTGTAAAACTGCACTTCTTCTCTGCCGTATTTTTAACTGACAGATCTAATGAGTGGTGGAGTGGGCACAGATATTGATGCGCAAACTGATTGAAGGGTGTTTCTGCATCAATTTGTGTCTCACTGTGTGAGAGTAAACAAAGCTTGTGCATGTGCACCCAGCTCCACAATGACTGAGATATAAGTGCACGTGAGGCTTTATGAATCCATAAGCTCCATAAGTTTAATATCCAGGCATAAAGGAACTTTCAAATTCAATACTTTATCAAGCAGCCAGTGGGTCAGATCAAGCAGCCAGTGGGTCAGTAAGCGGAGTGGAGTGGAGTGTCCATAATTATGGCAACAATGACATTGAGTGACAGACCTGCCATTATGTGACATTCTCCTCTTGAGTTAATATTTCTCCAATATGTCTCATTAAACTCTTTCCACAGAAATACGGGGACAAATTGCATCCTGTACTGAATCAGTAAGGGACAGTACATTTTATTTTTCAATATGGGACAAGGGGCAACTCTGTCGTTTCATGCCTTGGCGTGGCGCTGGCGTCAGTCACATCACTTATCCTCAGTTTTACTATCCTTACTTTTATCCAGACTTCCACAGGAAAAGAGTTTGCTGCATTCCAGAGTTTTTCCTGGGGAAAAGAGCTTGTAACTTTTATGTACACTACCACGCTACTCGGTCAATAAATTAACTTCACTACTGAAAAGCTATTTGACTCAGAAAGTAGTGACGTCACCACCACACTAGTGAGAATGCTGTTAAATTCGTAAGGTCGCACCTTGTAGTGAGCTATTTCCTAACACTGATTATTTTTGACAGTATGAGAAATAGCTGCGTAGTGTGAGTGCCTATTAAATCGGTCATTTGCGTGACTGGTTGACAGCTCTGACTTACAAAAAAGGAAACAAATTTGTCGCTCATTTCTCTCTTTTCAGAGACCTTTCTAATTTTCTCTTTTATATATTACTATTGTCCTTAAATAGAGCTAAAGTAATTTCATGAAAACACGCAGTATTTCTTATCCGATTACTTGATTAATCGCTAGAATATTTGATAGAATACTCTATTACTAAAAGAATCGATAGCTGCAGCCCTAGTATGAGTAGAGAAAATCTTCACTAGCTGCTAGGCTAAGTGCTTAAGCTAATGATGGGTGATGAGCAAAAAACAACTTTGTCTCTGAACCTGAACAGTTACTATTGAGCCTAATTATTTACTTTCGTTAAATGATCTTGTTGTTAATCCATGTTTTATGGCTGTTGGGAGAAGTTTGGCTTCAAGTTTTAGGAAAAAGATAATGGCTTGGGTTAAAAAGAAAAGATTTCTTCCAGAAAGGTTAACTTATCCCATGTGCTGTTTTATGTGTGATAGTGGAGTCAATTTAAAGAAAACTTTAGTGCACTTATGCAGTTGCAATTATTTAAACTATTTATGTGTTGTTTTGATTTTTAATGGCCAAAAGCAAAAAAGAAAGGGGTGGCAGCTTCTGTGATCACGATATAATCTCACATCAACTGCAGGCTCCTGAATCAATATTTTATCAAAATTGTATCCTGGCAGACTTTGTGATATCGGCAAATATCGTATCATTGTCCAAAGAATCGATATAATATCGGATTGTGCTCAAACTAGTGATTTACACCCATAGTTGCAAAGTGAGTCTGAGAAGTGTGATTTTACGATACCCAGTGAGTCTGCGCCAGTACACTTACTTAAAAACAGTTTAAGAACAGAACGTGTTTGAGATTAAACAAGCACACCACACCATTAGCCATCACCGCCAGAGGGGCTCTCCAGCGCACACATACATGAGAGGCCAAACACACCTGAGAGACCCAAAATGGCTGCTCTTCTTCATCTACATCAAACGTCACCTGTGTTAGAAGGGTTTGTTACAAAATCCTAGTATTCGGGGGCGGAAACATGCAATTCACTCATCGTTTCCTCCGTAACTCATTAGTAAGTAAGTAATGACTACAAGTTACATTTCACAGGGTAAGACAATAATGAACAGGTCAAATACTGGTTTGACTTAGTCCTGGGGCATTGACATAGTATGGGATGTTGGGTGGGGTTATGAACAGTTAGGTTACCTGCAATGCCTCTATGCGGGCCTGCAGCTGCAGTCGATCCTCCAGATCCTGACAGCGTTCCTCTAGGCTCAGGATCTGCTCCTGCAGTTGGTTCCTCTCCAGCTCCAGCTCCTCTACAACAGACCGCAATCCATCTGAAATCATCAGCAAAAACGACAGGTATAAGGGATGTGACATGACCAAATAAAAGATAGTTACAAATAAAGGCCATTGAAAGGAGGTTGATTTGACTTCAACAAGACAAATTCAGCAGTAGAATAGCAGAGTTGTGTCACCGAGTCTCTCTATTTACAGAAATACTGTTTTCATTCACTTAGTAATTCTGTTGTTTTTTCATTTGCTGATAGGTAACCATCAATGAGACTTCCACAATAGATGTTTCAGATTAAAAGCCTGCAAGTGGCTCAAAGGGGATAACTATTTGAAAGTTTACTGTATTGTAGGGCTGTCACATTTTATTCAAAAGCTGAACTATCAGTGAAGGATGGAAAAAAAATTATAAATAATGTCTGTCTGAATTCAAAACTCACAGTACATAAACTTAACAGGCCATGCCAACCTCAAGAAAGGGCGTTCATAAGAAAATTAGGCTATTGTTGTTTTCTTTTTAAAAGGTATGCTACGCAGGTATTGTGCCTTACTCCTTGTAAACAATATCACTTACAAAACTGAAATCGAAAACCAACCCCAGTTTCCATCTTACAATATCCATCCATTTTCATCTGCTTATAAAAGGGCCGGGTCACGGGGGCAGCAGGCTGGACAAAGTACTCCAGACACCCTTATCCCCAGCAACGCTTTCTAGCTCCTCCCAGTTCACCCCGAGGCATTCCCAGGCCAGATGAGATATGTACAGTACAGGCCAAAAGTTTGGACACACCTCCTCATTCAATGCGTTTTCTTTATTTTCATGACTATTTACATTGATGATTCTCACTGAAGCCATCAAAACTATGAATGAACACATGTGGAGTTATGTACTTAACAAAAAAAGGTGAAATAACTGAAAACATGTTTTATATTCTAGTTTCTTCAAAATAGCCACCCTTTGCTCTGATTACTGCTTTGCACACTCTTGGCATTCTCTCCATGAGCTTCAAGAGGTAGTCACCTGAAATGGTTTCCACTTCACAGGTGTGCCTTATCAGGGTTAATTAGTGGAATTTCTTGCTTTATCAATGGGGTTGGGACCATCAGTTGTGTTGTGCAGAAGTCAGGTTAATACACAGCCGACAGCCCTATTGGACAACTGTTAAAATTCATATTATGGCAAGAACCAATCAGCTAACTAAAGAAAAACAAGTGGCCATCATTACTTTAAGAAATGAAGGTCAGTCAGTCCGGAAAATTGCAAAAACTTTAAATGTGTCCCCAAGTGGAGTCGCAAAAACCATCAAGCGCTACAACGAAACTGGCACACATGAGGACCGACCCAGGAAAGGAAGACCAAGAGTCACCACTGCTTCTGAGGATAAGTTCATCCGAGTCACCAGCCTCAGAAATCGCAAGTTAACAGCAGCTCAGATCAGAGACCAGATGAATGCCACACAGAGTTCTAGCAGCAGACCCATCTCTAGAACAACTGTTAAGAGGAGACTGCGCCAATCAGGCCTTCATGGTCAAATAGCTGCTAGGAAACCACTGCTAAGGAGAGGCAACAAGCAGAAGAGATTTGTTTGGGCCAAGAAACACAAGGAATGGACATTAGACCAGTGGAAATCTGTGCTTTGGTCTGATGAGTCCAAATTTGAGATCTTTGGTTCCAACCGCCGTGTCTTTGTGAGACGCAGAAAAGGTGAACGGATGGATTCCACATGCCTGGTTCCCACTGTGAAGCATGGAGGAGGAGGTGTGATGGTGTGGGGGTGTTTTGCTGGTGACACTGTTGGGGATTTATTCAAAATTGAAGGCACACTGAACCAGCATGGCTACCACAGCATCCTGCAGCGACATGCCATCCCATCCGGTTTGCGTTTAGTTGGACGATCATTTATTTTTCAACAGGACAATGACCCCAAACACACCTCCAGGCTGTGTAAGGGCTATTTGACCAAGAAGGAGAGTGATGGATTGCTGCGGCAGATGACCTGGCCTCCACAGTCACCGGACCTGAACCCAATCGAGATGGTTTGGGGTGAGCTGGACCGCAGAGTGAAGGCAAAGGGGCCAACAAGTGCTAAACACCTCTGGGAACTCCTTCAAGACTGTTGGAAAACCATTTCAGGTGACTACCTCTTGAAGCTCATGGAGAGAATGCCAAGAGTGTGCAAAGCAGTAATCAGAGCAAAGGGTGGCTATTTTGAAGAAACTAGAATATAAAACATGTTTTCAGTTATTTCACCTTTTTTTGTTAAGTACATAACTTCACATGTGTTCATTCATAGTTTTGATGCCTTCAGTGAGAATCTACAATGTAAATAGTCATGAAAATAAAGAAAACGCATTGAATGAGAAGGTGTGTCCAAACTTTTGGCCTGTACTGTAATCCCTCCAATGTGTTGTGGGTCTGCCCCGGGGCCTCCTACCAGTTGGACAGGCCCAGAGCATCTCTAATGGAAGGCGTCCGAGAGGCATCCTGATCAGGTGCCCAACCACCTCAGCTGGCCCCTTTTGATGCAAAGGAGCAGCAGCTCTACTCTAAGCTCCCTCCGGTTGTCTGTGCTCCTCTACGTATCTGTAAGGCTGAGCCCAGGCACAACTCGGAGGAAACTCATTTCAGCCACTTGCATCGGCGATCTCATTCTTTCAGTCACTAATCAGAGTTTATGACCATAGATGAGGCTTGGGATGTAGATGGACCAGTAAATAGAAAGCTTTGCCTTCTGGCTCAGCTCTCTTTTCACCTCGGCCACCTGCATCACTGCAGATGCCGGGCCAAACCACCTATTCATCTCACACTCCATTCTACCCTCATTTGTAAACAAGATCCTGAGATACTTGAACTCCTTCCCTTGAGGTATTAATTCTCTCTCTTTCACTATATATTTTTTTTTTCTGGTGCAGTGTCCTTGACTTCTGTAACAACATCCAAGATACCTGCTGCTTAAGGTCTGGCACCTGGTCATTAGCTTTTTATAAAGTCCCGACTTAACCTGCCTGCTGTGCCCAGGGATGTTCCCAACAAAACAAAATAATAAGAAAATACAAGCAAAGGACAGAATCTCTGCAGATAAATACACAGCCACACACTTCTGTGTGAGTATACGTGCTTTTTGTAAAGAATGTCATGCATAGTATATTTTTAACACAAACCAAATTACGAGTATTGCCTCATGGCTGTATGCCTTTGCAAACCTCCCAAGTTGCAGTTACAGTTTACATCTATGTCTGTGAAAAGATGGATGCTCCACATACATCCTCCCCCTTGGCAGCACAGAAGATCTATACAATTAGCACAGTTTCAAGGAGGGCACCCAGGATTAATAATCACCAATTCAGTATTTGATCAAATGTCTCCCCTTCTGTTTCTAAAATATGATGTTGAATAATGGCCAGAAAAGTGTTTTTGCAGAATATTATGATGTCACAGTAAAGTTGACCATTGACCTTTTGGATATAGAATAACATCACTTTATCATTATATCCTATTAGACATTTAAGTGGAATTTAATTTCTGATTTATGGCCAAAACCATGTTTTGTGAGGTCACAGTGACAATTCTAATTTCATCCTTGAGTCTAAAGTAGATGTTTGGGCCAAATTTGAAGAAGGCCCTCCAGGCCTGCTTGACATATCACATTCACAAAATGTGACAGATGCAAGGTCAGAGTGACCCTGGCCTTTGACCACCAAAAGTAATCAATTCATCCTTGAGTCCAAGTTCAACTTTGTGCCAAATTTGAAGAAATTACCTCAAGGTGTTATTGAGATACTGCGTTGACAAGAATGCGACAAACAAGGTCACAATGACCTTAACCTTTGACCACCAAAATCTAATCAGTTCATACTTGAGTCCAAGTGGACTTTTCTGCCAAATGTGAAGGAATACTCTCAAGAGACCCTTTTCCACCGCAGGAACTTTTCTCATTTACCCGGGATTTTGAAAAGCCTCTGCGCAGTTCCACCAAAATTACCCGGGGAAAAAACTTTCCCTCAACCCCAAATTTTCCCTAGAAAAAGTACCTAGTAGGGGGGTAGGACTTTTCAGATTACCCGGAATTCTGGGGGGTGTGGTTGCTGAAGAAAGCTGGTTGGTGGAATGCACACTTGCAGCATTCCACACTTTCTAGCATGGACAGTCGCTGCAAACTTTATTTCATTTCTACAAGCTTCACTTTGTTTGTGTTTTGATGATGGATGGGTACTGAAACCTGGTACTAAATCATCAAAGGCCGTAGTATTGATAAGCGCCAATGGTATCGGTTCTTTTGTACCGGCGCTGAACTACTCCACATCCACACACAAACAGACATACACTGACGTGACACGGTAACTGGTGAACAGCCAAGCGGCCGCGGTGGAAACAAAGTGAAGACAACTCCAACATGACTCGAGTTGACGGCTTACTGTAAGTGACATTAACCCTTAGCGAGTAAGAAGCCAATAATTTATCAATACATGTGTTCACCAAGCATGAACATTTAAACATGTAGACAGCCATATTCAATATGCTCCGTCCACAGTCTCTCATCCAGCGACACGAATGTTATGTCTTACACAAGGACAGCACGCTAGTTCAGCTGATAGCGAATTGTAAGCTCAAATGATAGCTGTCTGTATGTAGACTAACTTAGTTCAACACTTATCGTCAACTACTTTTAAACTTAGCTGCTGGCTGAGACAAACAGCCCCAACTCTCTCTACAAGCGCTAATGTTACCATATTACCAGCCAATAAGCTCACGGAGCTGAAGATAGGGCACATGCCAAATCATCTACGTCATCACGCTAATTTGAATACATTTTCCGGAACTTTGAGGTGCAGTAGAAACACAAACCACACAGATTACCAGGAATTCTTTTACCCAGGTAAATAAATTCCTGGTAATAAAAGTTCCTGGAAATGTTGGTGGAAAAGGAACTATGGGGTTCCTGAGATATTGCATTCCCGAGAAGGGGACGGGCAACCCAAAAACATAGTGCCTTAGGCCAAGGCTATTGCTGGCGCGGAGGCATAAAAACTGCAGGGGCAAGGCTGTTTGCTTAAGTTTAAAAATGCAACTGCCTAAGGTTACCATACCAACAAATGTAAAGCCGTCTGTAAGCTTGGTGCTCAAGTGAAGCAATGAAGGTACCACAAATTAACGGAACTATGCCCCTTCTACAACATAATTTATGATTTAGCTATGCAGGTTTGCATTAATTCTAACAAATTATGTGTCGTTTTCATGTGTTGGGACTTTTCTTTTTAAACGTGTGACAGCCCTACTGTATAGGTACAGATGGGGAAAAAAGAAGTAAAAATCTATAGGATAGGACAATCAGTGGGAAGGTATGATCACAGGGTCAAAGTTTGTCTTTTAAGCATGAGCTATCTGAAAGTATATTGATTGGCATATGCATTAATTAACAGACGAGTTGTGAAATGCAATTCCAGGGTCCCATGTTTTGCCAAAACAACCAAAAAGTACATCAGTCAGTTGTTTTTTTTTATAACACAACTCACAAGTTATAATTTCCTTTTTTTATTTTTTATCTCTATTTATTTTTACAGATAACTGCTGATGTTTTTTTTGGCTTTATGACAAGCAGCATCTTAAAAGACAACAAGAAGGGATAAGAGGAAATAAAGAAAAAACAAGCAGAACATGCAAACAATGAAAAAGGGAAAAAAAAAAAAACTTACCACAGATGGGGAGTATCTTGCCACCTACAGTAATATGATCTCACAAAATTCAGTGCATTCAGTGGACTAAACCCAACAAACACTAGCCAGCTCAACCAGCATGCACATGTCCAAAGAAAATACTGTAAGCTGATGAAAATGCAAACCAATGAATGAGTGTCTCAGTCTCAGGGTATTATCAACTGTCGCAGAGGATTTTTTTTTTTTTTTTTTGATAAATGTGAGATGATCTTAAATTTAGCTTGCTATAATGTCATCAGATTAATCCACTAGTAGAAATGAAAGCAAGCTGAACCAAGTTAATCCCAATAGTATGTTATACACAATGACCCAAAATAACCCAGGTCTTACATTCACAGTATTTGCCGGTTAGATGAAAAACGAGGAGAAATAAAAACAACAGCCACAATCCAGTGCTCAATAAAAATATGTTTTGAGTGTTATGGTGAATACAACAAAATAGCAACCCAAAGAGAATTTCCCAAAGTAATGTGCAGATGAACGTGTGCATGCCAGTGTAAACTGTCTAGCGAGTCTCACACCTGTATCAGGAGTACTGTACTCTGGCCACCAACCTCCCATATTCTCTCCCTCCATCGGGGTTGTGCTCTCAGAGGCGCTCCGTGGGTTCTGGAATGAGGTCTGCCCATCAAATTCAAAGTCCTCCTGCAAGTGGGATATACTTAATTGAAGCAGGGTAGTGATAAGTTATAAAACATCTATTCTGCAATTACAGGCTTAACCACCTCCACATCCAGCTCCGTGTTTAATGCATCAGACCTTCTTAAATCTCAAAAACAGAAAATAAGAGTGTAAGTCCAAGATCAATATGGGCTATTAAGCCATCAACAATTTTGTTTTATTGCAATTATTGTTACTCAAAATGGCTAATTTGTGATTTTTTTCTCACAGATTACAATTCAGTTTGCTACCTTTATCAACAACTTCACCTCAATGGTAAAACCGACATAATTACAAATGAACGATTTGGTAAAAAAAAAAAAAAAAAAAAAAAAAGAAAAAAGAAAAAAAACACCTAAAGAAAAACTATCAAATTGTGATTATATTGACTAATGTTGCAATTGGGATAAGATTCACGACGATGGAGGGAATGCTTTCACTGAGGCCATGGAATTGCAACTGACAGAATGTGTACTGTAGTACCATACTAAAACTCTGTAAAGGCAGATCATGGAGACATTTTAATTGTTCACGATCTTATGGTGTCATATCACACATCTCTATCTTGACCTTCGACCATAAAATTCTAATCACTTCATCACTGAGTCCAAGTGAATGTGCAAAATATTAAGAAATTCCCTAGACTGGTTCTTAAAATATCACATTCACGAGAATAACACAGATGCAAAGTCACAGTGACCTTGACCTTTGATCTACAACCACAAAAATCTAATGAGTTCATTCTTGAATCCAAGTGGACAGTTGGATTCAAGTTAGGATCTGTACCAAACAAAGACTGTTTTTTTTAAGTGTGTGTAATATGATTTGCAGTCTGAGACATCTCAGCAGCACTGTAAATCTTAATTTAGAATGATATTTTGACACATAGTTTGCACTTAACAAATACTGTGATTCCTGGATCTTGGATATTGCACTGGGCCATATTGCGATTTCGATACAATTCTAATAAATTGTTTGGCCCTAAACACAATCATTTAAAAGTAAAAATTAACTTAAAAAGTAACTGTGGAGACATCATTTTAACCGAAAAAGCAGGTTCATCAGGGTACTTGCGGTCTGGCTTCATAACTACTCCCAACCAATTTAAACTAGTTAAAATAACAGAAGGTATGCCTGGACCTTTACTCGTGGAGCTTGTTGATGACAATACACAGCACAGTGAGTGCTGACTGTAAAGCCTACTTCAGCAGAAAGCAGTCATGTATCTTCAAAGTTTGTTCAGGCCAAGTTTAAATTCTGTTTGACCTGTGGTTGTTAGGTGATTCTGACTTGTTTATTTCATGCAGGACAGGGCAGTAATTGATAAAACTTCCATGTTTTTGCAAATAACGAAAAGTCATGCAGTTAGCATATTTGCTGAAGATGCTGGTTTTTGTTCCCTTGGTTAGAACAATGTCATTGGAAACAACACAACACATACAGTACAGGCCAAAAGTTTGGACACACCTTCTCATTCAATGCGTTTTCTTTATTTTCATGACTATTTACATTGTAGATTCTCACTGAAGGCATCAAAACTATGAATGAACACATGTGGAGTTATGTACTTAACAAAAAAAGGTGAAATAACTGAAAACATGTTTTATATTCTAGTTTCTTCAAAATAGCCACCCTTTGCTCTGATTACTGCTTTGCACACTCTTGGCATTCTCTCCATGAGCTTCAAGAGGTAGTCACCTGAAATGGTTTTCCAACAGTCTTGAAGGAGTTCCCAGAGGTGTTTAGCACTTGTTGGCCCCTTTGCCTTCACTCTGCGGTCCAGCTCACCCCAAACCATCTCGATTGGGTTCAGGTCCGGTGACTGTGGAGGCCAGGTCATCTGCCGCAGCACTCCATCACTCTCCTTCTTGGTCAAATAGCCCTTACACAGCCTGGAGGTGTGTTTGGGGTCATTGTCCTGTTGAAAAATAAATGATCGTCCAACTAAACGCAAACCGGATGGGATGACATGTCGCTGCAGGATGCTGTGGTAGCCATGCTGGTTCAGTGTGCCTTCAATTTTGAATAAATCCCCAACAGTGTCACCAGCAAAACACCCCCACACCATCACACCTCCTCCTCCATGCTTCACAGTGGGAACCAGGCATGTGGAATCCATCCGTTCACCTTTTCTGCGTCTCACAAAGACACGGAGGTTGGAACCAAAGATCTCAAATTTGGACTCATCAGACCAAAGCACAGATTTCCACTGGTCTAATGTCCATTCCTTGTGTTTCTTGGCCCAAACAAATCTCTTCTGCTTGTTGCCTCTCCTTAGCAGTGGTTTCCTAGCAGCTATTTGACCATGAAGGCCTGATTGGCGCAGTCTCCTCTTAACAGTTGTTCTAGAGATGGGTCTGCTGCTAGAACTCTGTGTGGCATTCATCTGGTCTCTGATCTGAGCTGCTGTTAACTTGCCATTTCTGAGGCTGGTGACTCGGATGAACTTATCCTCAGAAGCAGAGGTGACTCTTGGTCTTCCTTTCCTGGGTCGGTCCTCATGTGTGCCAGTTTCGTTGTAGCGCTTGATGGTTTTTGCGACTCCACTTGGGGACACATTTAAAGTTTTTGCAATTTTCCGGACTGACTGACCTTCATTTCTTAAAGTAATGATGGCCACTCGTTTTTCTTTAGTTAGCTGATTGGTTCTTGCCATAATATGAATTTTAACAGTTGTCCAATAGGGCTGTCGGCTGTGTATTAACCTGACTTCTGCACAACACAACAGATGGTCCCAACCCCATTGATAAAGCAAGAAATTCCACTAATTAACCCTGATAAGGCACACCTGTGAAGTGGAAACCATTTCAGGTGACTACCTCTTGAAGCTCATGGAGAGAATGCCAAGAGTGTGCAAAGCAGTAATCAGAGCAAAGGGTGGCTATTTTGAAGAAACTAGAATATAAAACATGTTTTCAGTTATTTCACCTTTTTTTGTTAAGTACATAACTCCACATGTGTTCATTCATAGTTTTGATGCCTTCAGTGAGAATCTACAATGTAAATAGTCATGAAAATAAAGAAAACGCATTGAATGAGAAGGTGTGTCCAAACTTTTGGCCTGTACTGTATAAGCATTTAACAAATGTCTGATAGTATGCTGGTATAACCATGGCACAATCACAGTACTGTCAGTCTGTCCACCTACCTGCAGGCTTCGCTGGGCTGGAGCTGCCAGCTTCTTGGCCCTGTGGTGACCGAGCCCCTGAGCTTGAGCCAGCTCCTCCTCCAACTCCTGCTGCCGAGTGGCCAGTGCTGGATCGGAGCAGCCAGGAAAGAACCAGTCATCCTCAATCAGTTTTGTGCCACAGGAAGAGGGGGAATGTTGGGTTGGATTGAGGATGTATATATGGATGGAGGTCAGTGGGTATAAAATGGGTAAGACAGAAAGATGGTAGAATGAAAGATGTTTTTCCAAGACAGGATGGAGGAGATAGAGAATAGATAAGTGTGCTGGCATAGATTGTGTTGATAGTGGTTTTGATGAAGAGGGAGATGAGGCACTTTTAACACTGCATATAAACTTTGTAACATAGAAAACAATTTCATCCAGCAGTGAAAGAAAAACTAGAAGTGCACTGTAAGAGAAGTACAGAGACTAAGAGAATCAAGGATGGAGACAGAAAGTTTCTCAAACTGTATCTATGCACTTTTGTATTTGCATAAGGCATGTGGACCCGGGAAACACTTCAAAAGCAACATTCTGGTGAGAGCCATGCACACCTAATTTGCATAGCAAAGGAAAACAGCAATCAAACATGTGGGAGACGGGGAGCACAAGTGGCTGTGGGAGGAAGCAGAGGTCCCATTTTCATGAGTCACACTTAAAGCCTGTGTTTCAACACTGTTTCTTCAAAAGAAAGACCAGACAACTATTTAGAGTAACACAGCGCAGGTACAGATCTGAGGGGATTCTTGCAGTGCTTTTAGTTTTAATTGAGACTTTCATATTGCAGCATAGGATGCAAGCAGGGTAATGCCAAATTGATTAGGCAGAACAAAACATGTTCCCATCTGTTTTGTGACAACAGGCTGATATTTGATGTGCAGGGGAGGGGAGAGGGGGAGGAGGGCAGCTCAAAGCAAAGGGTGGGGCAGAAAAAGAAAAGAAGTTCAGTGGATTAAGCAGTGGTCAGTGTGGGTTTAGTGTTTAAGCAGTGTTAAGCAGAGATGGGCTCTATTCAAAAGAACTATGCAAATACTACAAGCTTATAGTAGTAGTAAATATCATTCAGAACATGCAGCAGGACTGGGTAAGATCATCTACACTAAGAAAGTAGAATAAAACAAGAATGAGGCAGAATAGAAAAACTGCCTTGTGCTTGGCACTTCACTGGCCACAGCAGTAGGGATTATATGTGGAGGATACGTAAGAGCAGGAGAAATTAGAGTATCAGTCGTCTGCTTTAATATCTTAGAAGTAAATCTGTCTTATTTTCTGGTATGTTTCTTCTTTCTAAGCCTGAGAATGCCATGAAGCAGACATGTCTGGCATACAAAGCATGCAGCTTATTAGGGCTTTCATAAAATGAAAGCAGAAAACTGTGTTCATATGGCACTGACTTGCTTTTCTAGAGTTGAGGCCATTCAGTTTTCAACATTCATTGATTTATTTCCCCCCAAAATGATTAGTTATGTAAATTAAATCAAACTGCAAAGTCAAAAACCAACACCTTCATTGCTCCCTGAACTAACTCCCCTTAAGTTAGGGCTTTGGGTCGAATATAGTATCTTGCACCCTGCATCACAGACTTCTTGCTGCCCATTGCTGGCAAAGGTATTGGTCCTCATTTATCAATCTAACATACACACAAGTGTACATTCGAACTCAGAAATAATTTAACAACAGGGTTCACATGCAATTCATGAAACGTTCCTATCTTGCCAATCACAGCATAGGAACGATCGGCCACTGAAAACAATCGTTATTTACATATCCTGCCCCAAATATTCTTGGGTTTAGAGGCGTTGCCCCAATGTTAACAATGTAGAGAGGTGTTATATGGCCCAGAAGAGAAACTTCTCTGAGCTGGAAATAGAAAAGCCAATGTCCAAGGTCCAATTTAACCAACTGGTTTGATTTGGTATCCTGAAAAGTGCCATCAAAGGAAGTCAGTAAAACACAGTATGGAAAGCAATCATTCCTGTGGTCAACAGCGTTGCAATGGACCAACCTATGGCATACTATATTAATAACTTTAGCCTATATATTATATAATATTGATATTGTTATAATAGTCTTTTCACATAAAATTGAGGAGCATGTGGCCTCGTGTACTGGGTCTGCTTCCATTTCGGGCCCATTCTCGGAACCTATCGGCTGTATTCGGCGTCTGACTTCTGGCAGACGGCGATACAGCCTCTGGGGGCAGACCCCCGATTTTTTGGCATTCCGGTTTGATTTAGGCGGAGGAGGCGAATTTCCGTTTCCAACTTCCGTTTATATATAAGTAAATATGCTGAAACATTGCGGTGGATTCAGAGTTTGCAGTGACGCCAATTATGTTCCACCTCGTTAGTTCACCGCACGGAGCATTTAACCTGGCAACAACTGCAGCCGGTTCAAACGTGATTGATCAACATCACGCGGACTACAAACACCCTAGCACCGGAAACCAAGGCTCTTCTGCTCTTCTTCTGGAGGCAAGATCTCCGGGGTTTGCCTACAGACTCTACATTCACTGAATGTAGAGTCTGTATACAGAGACTATTTCAGGCCTAACTGGTGGCAGAGGAGACACAGATGCACCACCTAAGTCCATTCCATTTTAATTATATTTTTATATATATATATAATTATATATATTTATATTTTTGATCTGGTTTGTCATTGATTAACAGAAAAAAAAAGAAAAAGAAAGAAGAAGTTTTAGATCAATAATAGTCAGGCATCAGTTGTGTTTAACCTTCGATCAGACTGGAGCCAGTCCCACAGAACCAGGCAACTGCTAGCTGTGATAAAGAGCTCACAAACATGTGATGGCTATACATTAAGTGAATATTATGGGGCTACAAATACTTAGATGTCAGTCAGAATATGGTCTAATAACAGTTCTCCAACTCAGCAAGATCTACTCAACTGCACCACAAGTCCATGCTGACTCAAACTTGCGTACACGAGTTGTGACCTGACGTCAGATTTGATTGTTGCTTTTGCACACTTCCCAATTTATAAATGCCGAGCTTTGCGTGAAAATGACCGTACGCCATTCATTTTTATAAATGAGGGCCACAGTGAGCTGCAGCAGCAAAACAAAGAAGAGAGAGCTCATCAGCAGGCAGTGATGTTGATGAAGTTGTAGTCAAGATGTCTCTTGATACTGTTTATAGCAATTAATAACCTTCATCATTTGACTTAGTGAAACAGCATGCCACTGCCACCTTAAACCCACATTAGAGCAACTTGTAACACTTTCCACATCAGCAACAAAAGGGTAATTACAGTATTTCTAGCAGCACTTTAAGGCAGCACCAACAACAGCATACAGCAAGCAAGTATTTAATATGTATTTGTATTTGGCCATTGTAGCTCCACCTGTATTAAATCACAAAATGTTACACCAATAGGAGTGACTGGATTAACTGCAAAGTTCATAAAGACTAACTACTAACTAGGCCTGAGCAAGGACAGGAAAGGTTTCTGTTTTCCTCTCAGCATTAGAAGAAACGGTGGTGCAGTGAGACGCACGGCTCGATACAACTCTGGCAACAAATTAACGGCAGCAGTTTTTCAGAAAGAGTGCTAATTACTGTGAGGGCTTTGAGTTGAGTTGTGAGGCTTTGAGTCTTGTTACTCACACTAGGTTCATCTTCTTCACTTTAGTGATTCAGTCAGTGGTACACACAGCTGATTAAAATCAACAGCCATAATTAATGTAAAAGAGACCGCTTGCCTTTTCACTTTAAGCACAACTGTGGTTTTATTTCACTCAAATGAATAACAATTATATTTTGTGCGTTCCTTTGAATGAGAAGATGTGTAGAAGATTATTGTTTAGGTTGTCAAATATTTGCACTTGGCATGTCCATTTCTTACTCGTAAGCTTTTATAAAATATTCTAAATACCATAACTTTAATTTCACTTGTATATCCTGATCTTAAAGTAAGTCAGTGAATCACAAGAAAATATAACATTTGAAAAACACCTGGACTTTGTGAGCTTTATTAGTAATGACTGACACAATTCATTTGTAATAAATAGGATAACTGCCACTTAGCCCTTTACACTATTAGCCTTCAAACAAAGACAGCCTATATCAAAGTTATTATAGATATTTGCCCTCTTCCAAGAGTTAGCGCAAATCCTACTATCCCAACACAAAAAAAACAAAAACAAAGTTGTTTCATTATATTTGATACTGAGATATTATTATTGATGGATTATTCCAAAAATATTTAAGTGTGGCCGCACCTGAAATCAAAGGATGAAAATAATAAACAGTGGGACAGAAAAACAGAGAGAGAGGTGAAGGAACGAAAAAGAGGAACACAGGAGAGGGGAAGAAAGGGGGAAACAAAGGGGGAAACAAAATGGCAGATTTTCAAATGCAGCCCAACACTGTACTGCCTGTAGCTCACCATAACAGAGGTGAAATTCAGGGGAGCTGCAGGCAGTACAGTGAGTAAGAGCTGCACTTGAGGTTTAGGGGAGCCTGCATGCACAAAACTGATGGGAAACTGTTCTGTGTGGCTGCTCCCATCCCTGGAGCAGGGGCAGGAGGGGGGGAGTGGGGGCAGAGGTCCATGAGATGGGAGGCAGCACAGGGTAAACCAAATGCTCCCCATTAACAGCGGAGAGCACAGGCGAGGGATATGAAAAGGAAAAATATGTTCAGTCAGACAACAGAGGACATGTGGTAAACAGTAAAACACAAAATCTAAATCTCTCCCTCGCTGCTACACAACATGGTGGTGGTGTAGATGTTGTTGGTAGTGGTGGTGGGGGCAGGGGGCAGGGTATTAGGACAAAGTAATAGGAGTTACAAAATTTCCACTCAATAAGGTTAATTAAATTTTATTGAATTATGCTGAGAGATATTTCTAATATTTTGTTCTCTGCATCTATATCTGTTATGATATACTAAATATTTGAAACACTACAGTATAATGCTGTACACTTAAACAGCATTGCAGATTACAGCCTCCAAAGTAATGTCAATTTTATTTATATGGCCAAATATCACCAATTTGCCTCAAAAGGCTTTATAATCTTTACAGCACCAACACCCTCTTCCTTTTGTTCCTGTATCAGGAA